GTCCCCCCCCCCCCCACCAAGGAAGCCCCAAGGTGGGGCTGAGCAGCCAGGCTGATGACAGGGTGGAGACTCAGAAGGCAAGAAGCAGGTGAGGCTTACCGCGATTTGCCCACTCTCCTCAGTGAGATACGCCTTCACATCTTCCAGTGCCACCAGAGCACACTGTCTGCCATAAGAGCAAAGGAAACCAGCAGGGAGAGCTAGGTTCAAACATGCCCGAGGCACAAACAGATGGGTTGCTATAGCAGCCACATCCCTTCCCACTGGTCAAAGGTTTTCCCTAACTAGATCTTTCAACTTTCCCACTGAGGTTTTTACACCATCCTACATCTTCCTCCTACCCCTGCCCCTGCCCCAATGCATATATCTTATCCCTCTTTAGGCTTAGGTTACAGGCATACACGCATCTCCCTGAGCCCTGTCCTTCTACCCACCCAAGCCCAAGATGTCCTGCCCATCAGATAACTTCCACTTAAAATTCCCACAAGATATTTACTGGGAGGAAAACAAAGCCCTGACACATCCAGTCTTATGATAGCTGAGAAAGATTCGACTGGAGGTCAAGCCTTAAACAAGACTCACTTGCGGATCTTCATGGCCTCCTCATTGTCATGCCGAAAGAAGTCGTAGGACTTATAGGACTTGACTGCTTTACGCCGATACACCCCAAGATTAAACACTGCAGAAGACACCCAAATCTCTCAATAGCAAAGCAATATGATGCCCCCACCAAAGGAGACTTCTTGGCCTAATGTCAGAGTGGCCAAGGGAATGAAAGAGGCACCGTGGGACATTGGGAATAATACCAGATTAAGAGTCAAAACAGCTGTCAAGTCTTCACTTACTAGACCTTATACAAGTCCGAAGCTGTCTGAGTTTCAATTTCTTCAGCTACTCTGTCTATTTCACAGAGGTACTGCTAAGGCCAAATAAGATGATGCACAGGCAAAGTCTTTGAAAACTTAAAGCTCTACACCCACTTAATTCTTAATACTCCTATCAGGGGCATTCCCTCAAAATTAGGCCAATTTGCCAAGGCCAGGAGGAAAGCAAGTCTGGGAATAATTCCAGTAAATCAAGAAGCAACTAGTATTTCCACCAGAAGCACCCTATAACCTGATGCCAGGGAAAGTAAGTCTCCCAGAGGCCTGTGAGGCCCAGGAACTAATCATTTTCCTTCCCAAGGGATGACCCACACCTACCTTTGGTGGGCACTCCAATCCAGTTGAGGTAGCGTGTTAGTTTCTTGGATACGTAGGTTTTACCCCGGGCTGGCAAACCAATCATAACAATGAGAGTGGGGGAGTTGGTCATGTAGGAGGCCCATGCTAGAGGGAAATGAAACAAAACAGAACTAAATGACTAGGGGCTAAGTACAGTTTATACACTGGCTAGGAAGCGCATATTCATATCTCGTTTAATCCTCATGAACCTATAGGATAACGGTCCAGGAAGAGTGTGAAGGCAAAAGAGAGAAACAGGCAGACCCTCCTGAAAAAGATTTAAAGGGTTGTACAGACTTCTTTCTAGAGAGTACCCAAACCAAGACATGTCTTTCTCATATGTCTGAGGTCTTCACAGAGGTACCCTAGGTGGAAAGAGGGAGAAAAATGGCAAAGATTAGAAAGCAAGTAGCCATGGCACCCTCCTTAACATGAGAATACCTAGTGGCACAAAAATGATATCCACTGTGAAGGAAGGTCTTGTGCCTGGAGATTCCACCAGTGCAGAACTGAGCTGGCTTCTGTAATAAGTCCCACCGAGTTTCTATCCTGAGGATCCCACCCATCCCTTCAGAGCCAGGGGCAAGAATTAGCTTGTCCACTGCAAAAACAGATTTGCCTCAAGCTGTTTTGGCCTTTGTACTCAGGCCATGAGATCCTCCTTAAGCCAGAACTTCTAAACTGTAGTGAAATTTAGTAGGCAAAGCCTACTTGATACAGGTTCTGTATAGACCTCAGGAAGCTTCAAGGTAGAGTTAGCCCACAAAGGCATCAGGCCCAGACTGCCTCAATAGCCCGTATAAAGGCAAGACAATTAAGAAGCAGGAAGAGCCATTAGTCAACACTTCCTTAGTAAGCTTTCATGTCAGGGATGCTCATTTATAGAGATGAGTCTCACAGGTTGGGGCAAACTAGATAGATGCTCAGAAGTCAAGCGATTTGCCTCAGGACACATGAGTCAAGGGTAGAGCTGGCACTGGAATCCAGATCCTGTGTTTCCTCAGGAGCTTTTCTCCATAAAAAGAGGCTCCTCCTCAGCTCATTCACAGGTACTGGCTCCTCCCTGCCCATCCTGCCACAGAGGAGAGGTGGGAGGGACCTGCACTGCTGCCAGCCATGTTCCTGGGGCCAAGACCCAAACTGAGGTCATCTGGGAGGGCTCGGGCTTTGCAAGCTCTGATGAGGGAATGCCCTGCACAGGGATGGCTGAAGGAAAGAAACCCCTTCGTCCTCTGCTTCTCGGCACTGCTTTCAGGAAGGTGCTTGCAAGTTGTTGCTTCTTCTCTGTAAGGCACAAGGTGACCCTTCATGACTAAGAAACAATTCAGTAAAATGGAGGTACTTGGTTGGCAAATTTGTCTTTCACTTTTTGACAAGGAAATGTAAAAAGAGTTCAGAGGAGAAGTGGGTAGAAGGGCCCAGGTAGAGAACCGACCTTGGAAGGAAGAGAGTTTCCTAAGGGTGTTGGGCAAGAAGTACTCGGAAGCCAAAGAGTAGCCCTACTGGTGAGGGAGGGGTGTATGCTCAGATTCGGGGCCAGGGCATGGCTATTAGTCCTTTACCCACTGTGCTCATCGAAAATTCCTTAATCTGGGCAGGAGCCTCCAACAAGGTAGGTAATGGAGCAACGTAAGTGATTTTCATCTCTGTCCAAATAGGGAGCTCGAAGGCAAGCAAACAGAACCCTGCGGCCTCGGCTGGCATTAATCCCTAATCACCAACCCTTAAGAGCCAGATAGACTCTACATGGGATCAGCTGCCTCAGGTTTAAGTAGTAAAATCCCCTGAGTGTTCACTTTCTCTGGTTCAGCTCAGCACCACACTCTCCTCCATCCCGCATGATTTGGCTCATTACCTGCGCTTCTAGGCCTGCTTTGTTCACACCTTACAGCCCATTAGGCACTTCCCCCAAAGGTCCTGTTACCCTCCCTAAAGCTTAAAATGAACTGACACTTGGGAGCTGCTCTGAAGGCAAAGGGGAAGCAGCTGCTCTGTGTTTACCAAACTAGACAGAGAATGCTAAGAACAAAAGAAAACACCGGAAAACATGGGCCACTAGGGACTCCGCAAGATGCCCTTCAGTGCCACACCTCGCACCTCTGCCCAACACACACCCCCACACACCTGCTGCAACCAGGGCTTGTCATTTTCTGGGGTACAAAACGAAACCACATTTCCTATCTCAAATTGCCAAGCTGTCAAAACTAGGAACATTCTGTCCTGCCTGTGAAAAAACAGAACCACTACTGCCACCACCACCTTAATTTGAATGTAGATACTTCACAATGATTAATTTCAGAGACAATGGAATGCATCACTTGACATACAATGTGAAGCTGTTTCAATCCTGAAATTCTCTTCTCTTTAGGTAAGGTTTCACTCACTCTCAATCTCAAACTCATTTTCTCTCCATAACAGTTCTTAGATGAAATGAGGGACTGATAACTTTTCTTGTATAAATAGAAAAACTCAAGCGCAGAGAATTTAAGAGCTTGACATGAGCCCTTGTGCCTCATGTTAGCACTTGACAAAGGTACCCCACAGTAAACACAACTATGCACTCCATCCTAATCCTGAAGGATGGTATAGGGACCCCTTGTTACCTTGCTTGCTTTTTGTGTCCTGACCGAAAATCAGAGTTCCTTGTCTCCTTTGTGACCCAGCCAGCTGCAAGTATTTACCAGCAGGCTTGAAATAAAACCCCAGCTTTGAACACTCCCAGGCACTGATAAAGGTGTCTAGGTTGTTGCCCACAACACTGAAAGAAAGTGGCCCTGGCCCTGAGGCAAATTCCTTAAATCTTCATATAAACTCCATACCCTGAACCCCTCAGTGAGGACATACCTAGGTAGAACATCCCTTTTCTCTGGCTGTCTGTTGTCAGGACATGCTGCAGCACTCTGTATGTAAGTTCCCCCAACAAATGCTTTGGACTGGTCACCCTGGTGTTTAGTGCTTCTTTCTTTGGAATCCCAGCTGGCCCCATCTCAGGACAGTTTGGGGTACCCCCTTGTGGGAACTCCCCTGGGGCTACTTTTGGGGCAATTCTAGCTGTGGATCTGGCAGAATGAAACAGATGGTCTAGCAGAGCCTTTCGTGAAAGGTTCCCAGCCTTTTCATGACCTAGGTCCTCTTCCATTATTTGTTCTAAATAGATCTAACATTTTGAAATATGCCACCTATAAAGCATGCTTCATTAGTGATATCTTATTTTTACTCATCAGACGTCATAAAAACTGCCAATTATCCCCTGCTGGTTGACAGAGAGGCACGAAATAGTCAAGTTCATTAACTGCAGCCAAACACTAGGAAAGTTGATATTTTAGTTAACCAGTGTAGCTATAGCTAACAATACCTAATTTTTAAGTAGTTTGAAATATTAAAAATGACTTACAATATAGAATTTAGGAGAGTAAATTAGTAATACTGATCACCATTCCAATTTGTCTATCTTTTCCCCTGTAATTTCTGCAGGAGAAGTGGCTGGCAAGTGTGTAAGGATGTTCACTGTGGCATTCTCTGTGACAGTGAAAAATTGGAAACAATTCAAATGTCCTTCAGAGGGAAACTGGCCTATCCATACAATGCAAAATGAGGTAAATTTGGATTTAACAACATGAAAAAGATGTCCACGATATAGTAAGTTTTTAGGAAAAAGGAAATGGCAACAGAACGGAATATATACCGTATGAACCTACTGTCATTAATAGGATACACTGGAATAAGGTGTCTAAAAGAATTAAACTTCACAAAGACAGGAGAGATTGTGAGAGAGTTTTTTACTTTTCACCTACTCTCTTTCTGGATTCTTTCTGTATGGTTTGAATTTTTCATAAACATGTATTGCTTTTGTATTTAGGGAAAGGTACATGTAGGAACTTGTTTGCTTCAGATCTACTCAAACTATCAAAAAATAAATAAAACAAACAAACAAAAAAAGCATGTACACCCCCCCCATCTCCTGCTTTCACAGAACCCTGCAACCAGTCATCTAAGCACCCTAAAGTCACCTTAGCCAGCACCACCTCTTCACCCCCATCCCTGGAGCAGCTGAAGTTCCAGTAATGCTCCTTTGGAGGTTTTGGCTTTTGGCTCCTGAAAATCATGCTTCAGCCCTGAAGTCCTCAAGCCAATCACTTTCCAAAGTCAAAGTTAGCCAACATAGGTGTAATTAGCAGCAAGGGGATAACAGCAGAGCTCTTAATAAAGTAATTGCTGGTGTGAACACTAAGGAGCCAGGAGCTTGTTCCAAAGTGAGAAGAGAAAATGGAAATAAATGAACATATATTCTCATAACCTTACTTTCACCTTTGACTATGGTTTCAACAGTCTCACAGTCCAACTGTGAAGTGAGAAGAGAGTGGGATAAATAAATGAGGTGGCTTTAGGACACCCAGAGGCCTCCAGCAGGGAAGAAAAAGCCATTTGGAGAAGAAGGTGGAGCTTGGAAAGGAGAAATCAGATCCCAGAGCAGGAATTAGAGTCTAGCAGACAGGAAAGAGAACTGGGATAACTGCTTCTTCGACTAATCAAAAGCTCTCAAGGCAGAAAAACTGCAGGAGAAGAGTTAGAAAGGCAGGTAGGAGAGATTCCTAGAGCAGAGAATAAAGCAGAGTTAGGACTGACACCTGGCATTGTGCAGAGTCCCACAATGACCAACTCTGCCCCCCAACCCCAGCTCTCCACTCTCTTTTGGATCAAGCATCCTAGTTACACAAATGTACCCCCTTTTAAGAAGTGCATCCCGGATCCCCAAATCTAGGTCACACTATTGTCAAACAAGAGGAGAAAACATTCTTTACTGAAAATATAATACTTCAGAGAGCTCTTTTAAATAATGAGCTCCCAGCACAGCATTTGAGTGTAATTCAATTTATATACAATGTTTCAGGAATAAATACAACATGCAGACAGAGCCACCTGTGAAAAATAACACACATTAGCTATGTGCCCAACAGTCTTCTAAGTACTTTCCTATATTTACTCATTAAATCTCACATCACTTTAAAAAGAAGTAAACTGAGGCATAGAGGGCCGGCCCAGTGGCGCACTGCTACAGTGTGCCACTTGGGAGCGCGGCGGCGCTCCCACCGAGGGTTCGGATCCCACATACAGACCGGCCGCTCACTGGCTGAGCGAGGTGCGGGCGCAACACCGAGGGTTACGATCCCATTGCCGGTCCCGGTCCGGTACGGGCGTGACACTGAGGGTTGCGATCCGTTGCCGATCACAAAAAAAGACAAAAAGGAAAAACAAAAAAAAACAAAAAAAAACTGAGGCATAGAGAGGATAAGCAATTTGTTCAAGGGCACACAGCTAGGAAGTAGAAAAGCCAGGATTCAAATTCAGGTTCCAGAGGCTGCACTCAAACATTGTGCTATACTAGTTATCTGTCACGGGGTATTTTGTCTTTGGTACCTGGCTTCCTGCCCTGGCAGAGAAAGGAGACCCTAACCATAGAGGTGTGCTAACCCCAGTATCACATCCAAACCAGCTGCTTCTGTCCAGCAGGCCTCATTGGTGCTTGGTGAAGAGAGATTGTCATATTCATCATGAAACTGACAAGGTTATGACATCAAGGTCGAGGATCTGGGGAAAGCTTTGAACATGAGCCGATTCCCAGTCTCATGCTGGTCGGCTGTTTCCACCTGTTGTTATATATAGCCACTGAAGTGAGAAAGAACTGACTGATAGGGTTTCAAAGGAAAGGTGCAATCTGGAAGCACGGGCAAGATTTAGCATTCCTTGAGGCTCACGGAAACATATGGGACCAGTGTCCCAGACCTTTTGGGAAGTTATGCAGTCTATAATGCTGCTAAGGAATGCAGATGCATAGGGACAGGAAATGCCGCTTCATCTCCCTGCAAATCTCCTGCTGTCTCTCCTAAAAGATCAGCCTGGAAATGCTCCTGAGGGAGAAAACAGTTTGTAAAGTGCAAAAGCTCAACCTGTGTGAAAGTAAGGTGCCCAAGACACTGTGAGAAGTCAAATGTCAAGGCTCATTCCCCTGATGCCTATAGGAATGGGGCAAGGCAGCACTGGCTAGTATGTCCAATTTCTGCAGTGACCGGTGCCTTCCCAAAACTCAGCCCAACAGTTAAAGGGAGACTGCTAACAGTACCGGTCCCAAGTAATTCCTGCATCCTGCCACTCTGCCTTACTCACTGTGTGTACAATAACGCTTGCCCTAACTTCTAACATCAAGTGAATATGTGGATACCCCCAAGATATAGAGATTTTGTTAAATAAAGCAATAAGAGACCTTGGGGTTACACCGGCAGTCTAGCCCCAAGGACAGACATTTCACTGAGTCCACTTGATTCAGAAAGGAAATTGCTCCCTGGAGACTTTGTTTTAAATTCCCATGTCAGAGGATTATTTCTCATTCCCATGGAGCAGCCGAGTCTAAGATCACAAATATTCCCAAGAGAAAATCCTGGAAGAGAGCAGCCCCTCCTCTTTCCCAGAACTCACAACATTTCTTCTCTGACATTCGAAGATTTGAAGTTTTAGTTTTATAGCTGTTGTTCTGTTCTGAGGAAGATGCACAATTCTCAGACATGGCAGCTCTTCAGATGTCTGGAAGGGAGAAAAGGAATGTAAGGAAGGGAAGGGAGAAGACGTCCCTCAAAACACTCACTGCAGAGGATCAGCAGGGTATAAGTGAAAGAACCCTGAGCCAAGAATCAAGCCTAGCCCTCTTTCTTCCAGTTAATAACTAACTGTCCTTGAATAAGTCATAAAACTCCCTAGCCCTCTGTTTCCTCACGTATAAGAGGAGTTGCACTAGAACCTTGCATTTATTTGCTGATTTTGGAGTTTACATTCCCTATGTTACTATCTCCCTGAACCCTTCTAATAATACTGTAATAGGTCAGATTTTGCTCCCATTATTACTTATTCCCGTTTTACAGATTGAAAAATTGAGGTTAACCGATTAAGTGGCTTGTCCAAGCATTGTCATAAGCTCAGGTTCTAGTTTTAAGAATCTGGAAGAGTAGTGGTGGCAATCGGGGGTAGGGTGGATGGGGAAAAGAAAAAGTTCATCATCAAGAAAGTAATTACAATCCAATGGTAGAACTCAGTCTTGAAAAATAAAAAAATGAGATAAGTGGGAAAATCTCAAACACGTCCCCTAAGGGAAAAACTGTAAGTGGACCATGAGACAGCCCTAGCACGTCACCATTTCTCCTCCTGATTTCTCTCTCTCAAACCCTGCTCCGCACCCTCTCCTTATTCATTCCCTGGGACTCGTCTAAAGAAGGAACAATGGGACGCAGAGGTGGTAAATGACTTCCCCAAGGTCACCTACAGAATAAGGGGTAAATCCTGGCTCGAACTAGGCTGGGAGAGACCCCAGCTCACTCCGCAAACCCACACAACCCGAACACCAGCTGCAGCTTCCCGTCCGGGAACGTCTGCAGTCCCGGCAATGCCCGGGGCCGGCACTTCCCGAAAAGGCGAGGCATCATCGCCCGGTACCTCGTCTGGGTGCCCCCTTCATCCCGCCTGCCCAGACCCTCCCGGGGCTTCGCAGCTCTCGCTCACCCTATAATCTCTCCTCAGATCCCTCCGGGCAGGGGCCCGGACGCTTCCCCTGTAACGCTGCGACCCGAGCCGACTAACTGTGGCCGGGGGCCGGCTCTGGCGTCCTGCCCGGCTCCGCCCACCCGCGCGTCGGTCCTCACCTGGAGAGAACCATGGACCAATCGAGCACCTGCAGGATCCAGGGGGTGGGGCTCAAGTCGGAATCACCGACACCGGCTCCTGAAGGGGACAGATCACAAGCTCCTACGTTTCTCAGCACTGTGGAGGTTGGTTGCAGCGTTGCTCGGTAACTCATAGGGCTGGGGGCGGGGTTAAACGAAAGCCTCACATTTTTCATAGTCTCGCGAGAGTGGACTATTAAGTAGCCGTCTTAGGAGGGTGGGACCTTCTGGTGACAGAAAACACTGCGAAGATTAACGCTTTCGTTCCTGAGTCCCAGCGGAACCTCGTTAGATGCATAAATTGGAACGTAAGCTTTAAGAGGTACTTTGCTAGAGTAAGCTACCACAGGACTCAAGCCGATTGTGACTTAGGGTGTTTGCAGATCCGTCCCGTAGGTCAGACACTGTATTCTAAGAAAGTCAACCAGTCGTATCGCTGAACCAGGACCTTCCCTGGACCCATCCACATTCTCCAGTGAACTTCTTCTAACCCCTTCTTTATTCTTCTTCTTGCCCCCCAAGCTATATCATCTGATATGGTCACCTTGAAGAACCAAGGAGGAAAATCGCACCAGCCGAAAATTGTGTCGTGAAAGACGTGAAAAGACTCAAAGTTTCCATAAAATTTATTCAGAGATGGAGGCTTTTACAGTGGAGCTGAGTTTGCACGTTCCAAGTGAAGCACACTTTTCACAGTTGCCCCAGCAGGCCCGACTGACACTTGATTCTGTTGATAAACCCATTCTAGGCAGGATAGGACTTGCTATGTGGATCCAGGATAGATAAATAACAATAAGTAAGGATTTCTTGGAAGAGAGAGAGAAAGTCGGGGATGTCTTTATTCCTCCTTCATCTAGGAATTCATCCTTCAAAGTTTAAATAACTATCTCCTCTTTGAAGCTTTTAACAACTCCCAGCGTCTTACAGTTGCCCTCTCTGTGCCTATACAACTCCGTCTTTATCCATCCAGCGAGTATTTATTGAACACCTTTTATTTGCCAGGCACAGTGCTGGGCTCTAGGCATACAGGGTTGAAAACGGCCTTATAATCTGGCATTATCACGTTGCTGTGAAATTCAGTGGTTGTGTCCCTTACACCCCATCCTCTCTCACGGTTACAGTGAGCACTTGTTATACTAAAGGCAGGAATGGAGTCATCTTCTATTTGTATACCCAAGAACTGAACTGGAATCCGGATGACACGCGTTATCTTCTTCATTCCTCCTTTTCCTGCCACCACCTGGAGGAGGCAATTGCCCTAGTCCCAGATGCTGACCTCATACTGTGCTTTCTGATGTGGCAAATTGACGTTTTCAGGCTACAGTCCCACGGAGGTGGAATGGCCAGTCGTCCGACCCCCTTAACCCCAGTGAGTCAATGTTTGGTGCAGCCACGAGTCTAGTCACGTGCACCTGATTGTTTTCGATAGGTCCTTTGACTCACTGACCATTCCTGGCATTCGTTTGCGTCCTGAACTATGATTCTGTTACTGCCGGTGTAGTTTGGGTGTAGTTTGGAAGCTCCGATTTAATAATTTCCGACCTCGCTAAGTGCAAAGTTACATTCCACTCTACCTGATTCAGGAACTCCTTCGCCCGCCCTCTTCCCTTGAGCATATATGCCACCGACGCGGAGGGCACCTCACTCGCTCGACAGGTAGCAGGACCCGTAGTACTTCAAGGATACGGACAAATCTTCACCCTTTGGCTTGGGAGGGTGAGAGGAAAAATTAGTTGTCGCTTTAAAAGAGTTCGCTCTTCTGAAAGGGTAGAGGCGGAAGCCGTACCAAAGTGTCGCGAGAACTGTAACTACCGGCGACTTCTCGCGATGTTTGGCCCCGCAAAGGGTGGCCATTTTGGAGTCCACCCGGCGGCCAGTTACCCCGGCGGCGTCTCTCAACCTGCTGCCGGGACCAAAGCTGGCCCCGCCGGAGTCTGGCCTGTGGGCGGCCGGACCAACACGATGTGGCGGCTCCGCTGCAAGGCCAAGGATGGCACTCATGTTTTGCAGGGGCTGTCCAGTCGCACCCGGGTGCGGGAACTCCAGGGCCAAATTGCCGCCATCACTGGGATCGCCCCCGGCGGTCAGCGCATCCTCGTCGGATTCCCGCCTGAGAGCCTGGATCTGAGCAACGCGGATACCATTTTGGAGGACTTGCCCATCCAATCAGGTACGGGAATCGGGGCTGGGGCCAGAGGAGGTCCGGGGAGGACGGAGAGGGGCGTGAGAGAGAACAGAGGCAAGGCAAGGCGGCTGCGGTCAGTGGGGGACTCTGAGAATAAGGGTGAGGGTAGATTAAGGAACAGACAACCCTCACGGAGACCGGGACAAGAGTCTGACAATTCCTTGTCTTTACACATGGTTGAAAGAGAAGCTTAAAGGCTTGGATTGCCCCTTTCCCAATCTGCTTTCTGGTTTACCTTGAAAATATTCATTTTGTTTTCCTTCTGCATCCACAGAAGTATAAAAAAGTAGGCCCTATTTTCTCTATCCCGGTGGCTCCTTTTGTTTATATCACTGATCAGCAGGTCTAAAGGGTGCAGGATACTTTTTTGTTTGTTTGTTTTTTGGCTTTCCTGGTTCGGTTATGCAGTTCCTTTCATAAATACTTAGTTTGACAGGTACAGTATATTCATTTTAGAGTTAGCTTTTAAACCAGCCTCTAAAAACTCTTTCGAGTTCTAACCAACGGCAGGTATTTCTGTCTAGTATTAAAACTTGAACGTCAACATTGGTAACTAAAAGCTTTCTGTTGTTGTGTCAAGGACCATGTAAACGCCAAAGGGTAGATATGTTTAGTTTCAGAAGGAGGTGAACCCCCTAGTGGCCTAATCTATGGTGAACACCTTCTGAAAGACAAGTGCTCTGAAAAGGCAGGGAGCAAGTATAAAGAAATTTTGGTTTTGAAATGTATCTTTTTAAGTAAGTATAAAGGTGTATATTTCAGACCCCTTCACTAAATTGGGATGCAACCTAAAGTGTTGAGTTCTTTGTTCTGTTCTCATCTTTATGAAGATAAAGTAAACAAAAAGTGTTACTGTTCACTTGTTTGCAAAACTGTATTCTCCTTAGTAATCCCAGTTTATGCTTCAACTCCTGTTTATAATTTATAGACTTGGCTAGTGAACACCAAGTATCATCTGCAATTTCTCTGCAGTTCTGGATTTTTTTATTTTTAACAGGCGACATGCTGATCGTTGAAGAAGACCAAACCAGGCCCAAAACTTCACCTGCATTTACAAAACATGGTGCTCCTAGTTACGTCAGGGAAACTTTGCCTGTGCTTACTAGATCCGCGGTCCCAGCAGACAACTCTTGCCTCTTTACCAGCGTATTCTATGTGGTTGAAGGAGGAGTTTTGAATCCAGCTTGTGCCCCTGAGATGAGACGCCTCATAGCACAAATTGTATCAAGTGATCCAGACTTCTATAGTGAGGCAATACTGGGAAAAACAAATCAAGAGTACTGTGACTGGATCAAAAGGGATGATACTTGGGGAGGAGCAATTGAGATATCAATTTTGTCTAAGTTTTATCAATGTGAAATATGTGTAGTGGATACACAGACAGTAAGAATTGATCGTTTTGGGGAAGATGCGGGGTATACTAAAAGAGTCCTGCTTATGTATGATGGCATCCACTATGATCCACTTCAGCGTAACTTCCCTGATCCAGATACTCCTCCTCTGACCATTTTCTCCACTAATGATGATATTGTTCTTGTACAAGCACTGGAATTAGCAGATGAAGCTAGAAGGAAGAGACAATTTACTGATGTAAACCGCTTCACCCTGAGATGCATGGTGTGTCAGAAGGGATTAACTGGACAAGCAGAAGCAAGGGATCATGCCAAGGAGACAGGCCATACCAGCTTCGGAGAAGTGTGATCTATGCATGATGAAGGTTGAAGCTTACTACCTCACAGATCCAGAAGGCTCTGGGTTTTCCAATAAGCTATTCATAATCCTAAGGAACAAAAGGACACAATGCTTGAAACCATCCTTTTAACTTAAAATCACTAAGACACTGAAATTCCTTGTTAAGATTAAAAATAGTGTGCAAGTTTACAGATGTGTGTCTACGGTGGTGATACATGCCCTCTTTCTGCTGAGGTGACAGAATAGGTGGTCTTGCCACCTATGGACACCTGAAGATTGATTTGTAGTATTATGAACTGGCACCCAGCAGCTTTAACTTGTAGAAGAAAAAAAACATCACATTTTGGGTAATATGGAATGCCTCCAGGGGCCACTGGACATATACCACAGTGTCTCCAGTAATTTGAATTCTTTTAATAATAACTGTGAGTTAATAGTTTCTAAATCGTGAATTGATTGATCAAATGAAGATACTCAGAATTGTAAAACTGATTTTATATTGCAATTTGGTAGACTTTATAAATGTGTACTTAACCACTTATAAGTATATAACAAGCAATTTTTACAAGGATAAGTCTATTCCTTAAGAATTTTAAACAGGAACTGATAGTACCCTGTTTAAAATTTCTAGTGTATAAAAGTAGAATGTGTGAGGGAAAAGGTGCCTGAAGCAGCTTACTGAAGCTTTAAAAGACCATTGGCCTCGTGTTTTAATGCAATTTATGTATTGATCTTTGTCACGTTGCATAAAATTTTAAATTAAGCAGGGTATTTTTTTTTAATTGAAGTTCCTTGAAATTTGAGTGCTTGATTTTTGCTTTATTACGTGAATATTTGTCTGGAGGGATTTGATTTCCTCAGCTTTTTGTAAGAGCACTTCTTCCAGAAGAAAATATTCATCTAAAGTGATAATGCTATGCTTTGGTTTGGTTTTCGTACACTCTATTGCATACCTAAACAGTATTTGTTTTTGTGGTAGCCTTATCTCTCCACTAATGCGCTTTTGAATAATTCCACATTTCTGCAAATTAGCACTTTGCTTATCTGCGATCTTTTTACTTTGGCTTTTGAAGAGTTTTTAAGTAATTGGGATAATACTGTTGAATGAATTTGTTTCTTTTCCAAAATATGAAAGTTTTCAAATCCTTGCCTTATTCAGGTCTCAGAATTCTGCTTCTTCCTAATACTAGATATGTAGCCATTTGCTTGGTGGCCTAATCCGCAAGGCACGACCTCTAAAATTTAGCTTCACTACAAGATCTTCCAGATAAAGTTTTCTACCTCTTTTCTTAATTCTTCTAAAGATCAGGGATGCTAAATTATAATTTGTTATGTATTTTCTCACATAATGTGAAGAGGCTTAATGTTGTGAAGTTTAGTTATCTTGGTCTAATTTTTGATTATCTTAGAAAACCAATGGTGTACTTTAAAGCACTTATGTCTTTTTCAGCATATCTTCTTGGCAAATGTTTTAAAATTGAGATTTACTTTTAGCACTTTCACTTGATGAAGGTGGCCATGTAAAATTAAGGAAAATGTGAGCAATTTAGGGAAAAAGTCCCTTTAATGAACAATTCACAGAGTATGCTTGAAATCATCAGATGACATTTCTTGAGTACTTTTTGTGTGCATAGCTGTTTAGGCATTGTAAGCTATTATGGTCAGTATAACTTAAAGTGTTTAATTTTCTATTTTCCTGAGCCTTAAAAATAGCACTTGTGAGCTTATGATACTTAATGTTTGGCAATCATAATATGTACAAATGAATATGATTGAAAATATTTTCATATCTGTCTATCATCTGGTCTAGATGGTATCTCTTTTATTTCCCCCAGAAAATATTAAATTTAAAACTGTAAATTAAGTCTATACTATTAGGTAACATCCATCAAATTGACCTTTATGCATCACTATTCAGAAAGCTTGCCTTCCTTTCCTTGCTAATTCAGGAGCCAAATTTAACATTTGCTTACTGGGATTTTAGATCTAGAAGTTTATTCATGCAACAAATATTTATTGAATAATTTATAATGTGCCAGGCATGTTTTGATATGTTTTACAACATAATTTTTTGTCACTTTAAAATTGAGTATATGTTATCTATAGTGGATTAACTGAACAAATGGAAAGAAATAGAACACTGACATTTTACAAAATTAAACCCCTTCATTTTAAGTGTTTTGTTTACATATTAATAAATACCAAGTATTTATTTAGGGGATCCCTGAATATTTTAGTTTATCTGCTAAACTAAAATATTTTAGTTTATCTGCTAAACTAAAATATTTTAGTTTATCTGCTATTAGGTTGTCCATTCACCAGTTGTACACTGATACTCAGTGAAATTGCTTTCAAAAATGACCTTTTAAAGTAATCATCTGCTGAAATTCAGCACTAGTACTTTAAAATAGTGTTCTGATCATGGAAAATTCAAGATGAAGCATTATTTTCAGATTGCTTGATTTAATTATTGAGACTTAAAAATGTAAACTGCTCATTCTAAACTCAACCTTGGAAGGCTCACAGAGTTTAAAGTTTTTTGGGTTTTTTTTACCGCATATATTAAACTTGAAACTAGTAATTTATGTGAGTAAATTCTCATCTTGAGAACTTTAAGAAAATGTGGATTTAGTCCTTGTAGCAGGATTAAAAGAAACTGTCTTAAGTTTGCACTGGAGCAAAATGAAATCCTTCTTCCTATTCTTCAGTTTTTCCCTGCCATACAAGAATTTTTTTTTTTTTTTTTTTTTTTTTTGTAATTAAAATGAGGACAGTTTACATTAGTGGCAGATTGAATAAAGACTGCTTTCCCACATCATCCCTCTTCCTCCTTTTCCTTACTTTTCTTTGGATTAAAGATTAGGTGTAGTTCTGTGAAGATATACTCTTAGAGTAATTTCAGAAGTTAAAATTAATATCCCTGGAAATTTTGTGATGCCATAGCCATATGAAGACATCATTATATTAACCTCTTTTGCTAATAATGGTTCATGGTTAATTTCTTAATTGTTTCCTATGAATGAGAAATGGACAAAGTCAAGTGGTACCCTTGAAGCTTCACTGCTGGTCAGCTTGATACTGTTTTTAAGAACTAATGTAGTCATGCCACTTTATTATTCCGTGAAGTTCAAGTCTAAGCAAAACCATAATCAGGAATTAATTTACTTACGTTATCTTTCTGTGTGCTCCTAAGTGCTCATGCCTAATTTGCTTGTCTAGCTTACTCCTTCTGTCCTATGTAGGGATTGAAACATGGGTATTGTAAGTTGCCCTGGCTAAACATAGTTTTCTATGTCTTTTTGAAAAAACTAGAATAGGGAGTATGCAAGATTAAGCAACAGTGATTTTTTTTTTTTTTTTTTTTGGACAAATCAGGTGGCCTTCCTAAACTTACATATATTAAGAATCATGTTCTTTTATGTGTTGAGACACATTATTGTTTGCAGCACTTTAAAAAATATGAAATAACATTTTACATGTTAGCCTTCTCTAGGAATTTTGTTAAGGACATTAAACAACCATTCTTGAGCTGCTAACCATCCTCTCTTCTTAATTATTGCCATCAGTGTATGATGTATCTAGTGGTACAATATTCTGGTGTTTTGATAACATTAAAACTCAATTTCAGTAACTATTAGGAGCATGGTCTGTGCCCTGGCATTAAAATGTTACTACTATAATGTGATTGTCCTTTATCATTCATTATACAGTGCAGTATTGGTGTTTTGATAACATTAAAACTCAATTTCAGTAACTATTAGGAGCATGGTCTGTGCCCTAGCATTAAAATGTTACTACTATAATGTGATTGTCCTTTATCATTCATTATACAGTGCAGTATTCAAATTTGTCCTTGTAGCACAAAGATGATTGACAATTTCTAAAAGATTCTTAAAACCCTTCATTTGTTTCTAAGCGAACTTATCTTAAGGAAGCTGATTTTTGAGTCAGAGGCCTTAAAATTGTCATATACAAGCAACATCATTTTTAAGTCTAAAGTGAAACGCTTGAAGTGAAATGTTTATATTAACTAAAGATGTTTTCTTATTAAGCATTGTAATATTCAGCACATTTTACCCAACCTGAAAAGAATATAAAACGTCCCTGATTGTGGGAAAGTGTGTTATTTTATCTTCTCCAAAAATTAGCTAGCATTGTGTTTACAGTACTTTGAATATTTGACTTAGAAAAAATTATCACATTGAAATTGAATTGTGGGGTGCTGATTCAGGTTTTGATTCATATGCATTTAAAGGAGGTTGCTAACCCTCCCATTGTATTTTAGAGTGAAGTGAGGAAGGGGAATGAGGATAAAGTACCATTAAAAAAGAAGAGATTGTCGAATGGATACATCCCTAATCATGAATTAAGTTCTTCAGAAAATTTTGCAAGCAATGCCTTTGTGTAACCTCAACCCTCCCCCCACCCATTTCTTGGCTTAGAATGTAGTAGGGCCATAGGTGAAAAGCTTGTCATTAAAGTGTAAAACCATGAATTATAAGCATTTTGCAGTGATGCTATTTTATAGTTATGTTTTTTAAAATAATAACCTATATGTAAGACTTTAGGGATAATAAAGATATGATTTGTTTAAGTCGTAGGTAAACAGAAAAGTTAACCTTAGGTTTAGAATTTCTACCAAGATTACAATTATAACTGGTATAGAATATGTAATTATAGCCCATAAGCTACTTAAAGGACCAGGGGACCTAATTCTTGTCAGTTTTCCAATTCACATTGGTGCCATTCAGGACTCAAGCTGTTTACAGGAAATATGTACTTAATAAAGTAATTTTTCTCCTTTAAGATATTTGGCTGGCTAGCTCAGTTAGAGCATGGTGCTAATAACACCAAGGTCCAGGGTTTTATCCCTGTACTGGCCAGATGCCAAAAAATAGATAAATAGACAAAAATAAAAAATTTGAATTCAGCTTAAAATACAATATAAATATATATATATACCTTGTCAAAAAGGGTAACAGTAGTCCTATAATTCCCATATTAATGCAGTAGTAGAGGCAGAGGTTCCGGAAGCAAGAAGAAAACCACAAATTAAGATTGTCAGATTTAGAACTTT